ACAACAAAAACACGCACGCGCGAGAGAGAGAGAGAGGATTCCAGGCACGGTCATCACCACCGCCACCACCACCGCCACCGCCACCACGATTCAATGGAATTCCTCCCTTGCCCGCCCGCGTTCCACATGGAGGCAACAAAGGACCGCCCGTGGAACCAGGCAAAACAAAGTTTGCAATCGGTTACTTTAAATAAAAAAAAAGTTTTCTTTTGGGTCCAGGTGAGAAGAGAGAGAGAGAGAGAGCGCGCAGTGTGTGTTGGATACAAAGTGGTCTCCAGCGATGCGGACACGACTGGGGTTTGAAATCGACCTAAAATGTTGGCGACGTTGCACCGCCACCTCCCCACTCTGCCCTGCCACGTGACCGATGTGGTCTTGGACGCGTCGCGTCTCGCCTGGTTGAGTCTGGTTTTCACACTTGGATGGGTGACAACAACAACGACAAAGACAAAGATCCCCCATATATCTTCTTGGTTCTTTCGGTAAAGTCACGTAGAAGGGAAATAATAAAATTATAAAAATAAAACATAATAAAATAATAAATCTCACGACGTTTCGGCCACAACGCAAGCAGCCGTCCTCAGGTGAAGAACAGGTCTGTCGGAAAGACAGCGTCTGAATGAAGATTCATTCCGACGCTGTCTTTCAAGAAGATGAATCCCTGCAGTCACGAAAACTTTAAATCGAAAAAATCCCCCATATAGCCTAAACAACTGTTGGGGCAAGTGCTGTTAGCGAGCACCTATGAAGGCCGGCACGGTACACGAGGGGGTGGGTGGCCAGCACCACGCCCGGCCGCCTTTGCCTCCCCACAAATGGCGATGTTTTTACACACCGCACCAGGCACCCATTTGAGGCCGAGTCCACCTAGGGGAGGCCCAGAACCGGCTCAGATAATCGTCGCTGGCGTTGGCCGTGAGCGAGAATCGAACTCGGATCACTGGGGCTTGCCAGGTGTTGTAGGCATGGGGCTGTGGTCCAGGTTGTGACAGTGCCGAGTGTCTATCCCAGCGCGGTGTTGGGTTGTCTCCGTGTTCTCCGGCCTCATCCTAACCCCCTCTCGTGAACAATGGGATTCATGGGCAAACATCCCAATGTGGCCGCACCCTCCTGATAATGAACCTCGAGACTCAGCTATTGTTGCGCGGTGGCTAGGAGATGTTAACTACCTCGCCTGGCATGCGGGAGCTCGTAGGTTCGATACCGACCCCGACGCCTGCTGTGTACTTGGGAGTTGACGTGTATCTCTCCTCGGGGTTTTCCCCTCCACATTTAGAAACATGCGTTTTTGAGCGTTTGGGTGCTATACATTACCGCATAAATTATAGCTCGCTGAGGGATCATTTGTGGCCAAGTCGCTTCTGAAAAATAGATCTATAGCTCAGTGATCGTTACCTGGCAAAAGTAAATAGGTTTATCTTCTTGGTTCTTTCGGTAAAGTCACGTAGAAGGGAAGTAATAAAATAATAAAAATAAAACATAATAAAATAATTCTCACGACGTTTCGGCCACAACGCAATCAGTGGCCGAAACGTCGTGAGAATTATTTTATTATGTTTTATTTTTATTATTTTATTACTTCCCTTCTACGTGACTTTACCGAAAGAACCAAGAAGATGAATCCCTGCAGTCACGAAAGCTTTAAATCGAAATTTAAATAGGATTACTTTTAGTCTAGTTAAGTTTTCATAGAATATACAGAATTGTATACCCACATCACGTTACAAATGTGTTCCAGACGGTTCTGATATCCCTCGCCGTACTGACGTTAGCCGTGGTCGGGAATGAAACTCACTCAGATCGTGTCTGGCAGCATGATGCAGTGCGCTCACCTTATTCTTAGGTTTTTTCGGTAAAGTCACGTAGGTAAAAATTCAAATTAATAAAAGAAAAATTTAATAAAAATAAAATAAAAATCCCCGCACTCTGTGATTTTTATTTTATTTTTATTTTATTTTAATTTTATTAATTTAATTGTTTTACCTACGTGACTACCGAAAAACCCTAACAATATGAATCCTTACAGTAACGAAAGCTTCAAATCTAGAATTAGTGCGCTCACCGTTTCACCACCGCTCATCAGCTCAGCCTTGCTCGATCCACCGTTGGCTGAGACCCTCCCTAAGCCGCTAATCCAGCGGTCGGGAACCTATGGCTCGCGAGCCATATATGGCTCTTCCGGTGACGGCATATGGCTCCCAGACAATTTTGAGTTGAAAAAAATAATAATAATAAAATAATAATAAAATCAGTTTGGAACTGATTTTAAAATACTTGTGATATTGCTAAATAATACTGTGTCATTTTAAAGTAAACAGAAATTAGTTTTGAAGAAAAATTTCACGGGTCACGGGTCCCGTGACCAGAAGTCGCATTAAAAGTAAGACATATTTAATTTATTATACGTTAAAATACTATATGGCTCTCAATGAAAGATATTTAGAAATATTTGGCTTTTATGGCTCTCCCAGTCAAAAAGGTTCCCGACTCCTGCGCTAATCTGTCACGTATCCTTCCCAACGGCAGTCGGTGCATTCTCAGACAATGCCCGGCCAAAGAAGAAACCCCACAACACACGCACATCGCACATTGCGCACCGGGTAAGGGTCCATTAAGGGGCACTTTATAGGTCTCAATAAAGTTTTGTAGGGGCGCCTTGTTGTGTCTCGGTGGGGTGGTTGGGTGGGTGGGCGTGGGCGGCTACACACCCCGCGGACTGGACGCAAATCCACACTTGTTCTTATCGAGTGGCTCGCTGTTTGTTTAAGTGCGCGCTAACCACATTGCGTCGCACGCCCGCCCGCCCGACCACCCACCACCACCACCAACCAACCAACCACACAACTCCCGCCTTTTGTCTCCCGCTGTGTAAACATCCTAAGCTGCTTGGACACACAGCGGCGTGAGTCGCCGCCGTCGGGACGGGGTTGTTTGGCAATGGGGCCGCACAAAAGAGGCCAGGCGCGGGCTTGCTTGGATTGAATCGAAGCTGCTGAAATGATGAAATCTGAAAAGGCGACGCCGGCCGATGAGTTATGTGAAGAGGAAAGTAAAAAGATTTTGTATGCAGAGACACGGATACATAAATAACACATTGTCCGTTTAGCTTATTTTGTTAATATGATAAAAAAAAATATTGCTGTGGTTTTCCCACCTGATGATGATTGCTTGTGTTGCAATCGAAACGTGGTGATTTATTTTATTTTTTCCCTACGTGACTTTACCGAAAGAACCAAAGAGTATGGATTCCTGCCGGCACGAAAGCTTTAAGTCGAGATCAAAGCCAAGTTTTTTTAAATATTATAATATATTATATAAAATATATTATATATTAGACGTTTCAGTTCATCAGCCGATCACAGTGATGAATTCAAGACCCAGAGAATGTGTATTTATTGACAGTGATTTTTCTTACACGAAATTTGTTTTATTAATGTAGGGCCCGATTTAAATAGCTTTTAGATTCTGGACCATAATATGAGTTAATATGAAGAAATAAATATTTAGTTTATGAGACGATATTTTGCAAAAGGGACGATACGATTACCATCGACCTTATATCGTACATTTTCCACTTACTGTGAATCTGCGAAAAAGAGCTTTATAGCTCATCGGATTCCTCCAGTAAAAACACACATTGTTATCGCGGCAACCGTTTAAAGTAACAAAACAACTGAGCAGACAATACGACTCCATTCCATATCTGTCCCTCCACATGAAACATGTTTTTTTACGCATCACATCAGACACACAGCTTTCGGGGAGTGCATACTGTATGCAATCAGCATTGGTTCAACACAAGCACACGACTGTGTTATGGACCCGTTTCGACGTTCAGTGTTTCATCAGCAGAGAGAGGCTCTAGATTTGAAGTTTTCGTGACTGCAAGGATTCATACTCTTAGTTTTTTTCGGTAAAGTCACGTAGGTAAATTTTTTTTATAAACTAAATCACGACGTTTCGGGCGCAACACAAGCGTCCTTCTTCGGGTGGGTACAACTTAGCGAAGGCACACCGCTTAAGCGCTTTAATTTAAATGTCGATTTTAAGCTTCCGTGACTGACCTGTTCTTCACCTGAGGACGGCTGCTTGTGTTGTGGCCGAAACATCGTGAGAATTGTATTTATTATGTTTTATTTTTATTATTTCCCTTCTACGTGACTTTACCGAAAAAACCAAGAAGATGCTTTAATTTATTTTAATTTCCTACCTACGTGACTTTACCGAAAAAAAAGTATAGAGCCAGGCTCGCTTGAACCCAATGCTAGTGAGCTTGCCAGATGTGTATAGACAAGGCAGTGGCGTAGTAACGACATCATGAGATCAGGGGTGGCTGCGGCAGTCGGTGACATTAGTGCCCCATTATTTGATTCGTCTCGCACGGTCGCACCTACAGACTACTCTACATCGCTGCTCCTCTTCCCCAACCACTTAATCACGCACACGGTCTCGAACATTTGACGCTGTAGGGGCACTCGGTTTTAAATAAGATTTTTTTTCTGGTGCTTGTCAATGGGGGGGCCTAACTCGTCGCTTTGGCCACCAGGTGGAGGGGAGGGGTGGGTGGTGGGGGGGGGTTGCAAGGCACCCACTGCCCCCCCACGTGAGTCACGATGCTGAGATTCGGGTCCGCGTGGCTCGTGATGACTTTCGGAGTCATCTCGCCCCCTGCCTGCGCGCGTTCCTCGTGAAGCGCTACTGCCGCGCGGTGGCTGTGTGCGGTATTGCGCGGTGAACGTGGTCTATCTACTGCTGGAGGGTTGGGGGTTTTAATGTTATAATTCATAGTCTTCCTGCTTAACAAAAAACTAGTTTTTTGAACGTTTACATTTCTCTCGTGAATTGTCAATTAGATTTTTTAAAAACGTTGAGCATTAAAAAAAAGTATTCGTTCCAATGTTTTGTCTTGTATTCTTAGGTTTTTTCGGTAAAGTCACGGAGGTAAAAATTTTAAATTAATAAAAGTAAAATAAAAAATCACGACGTTGTGTTGCCTCCGAAACGTCGTGATTTTTTTATTTCATTTTTATTTTACTTTTATTAATTAAATTTTTTTACCTACGTGACTTTACCGAAAAAACCTAAGACTATGAATCCTTGCAGTCACGAAAGCTTCAAATCTAGAAGTTTTGTCTTGTGACATGTGCTACGAAGAAGGGCCATTGCCCGGAACGTCGCCTATTATATATATTTTTTATTTTTAAGACCACACAGTGATATTGACAAACGCGTTCAGTTGCGTTTTCGTTGTTAAAAGTGCTTGTTCGCCGCTACCAATGCAGCGCCAATAAATAATTTGTTTAATTTCACTGAACGTCGATGTCTTCATTAAAGCCGTTGGTGGCGGTTCGATAGATCGACGTTTTTATTTCAATGTCCCCATCCCTCCTCTCCCGGCTGCCATGGCAACGAGAGTGTGGCTCCAGTGGTACCTCGCCGGGCTGCGAGTCATAGGGAGGTGGGTTCCAAATCCAACTATACTCTTTGTTTATTTAGGTAAAGCTATCTCTGGTGTGGACCAATCAGTTTCAAAGACAATGCATAAATGATCAGAGTATTGTTTTTTGTTTGCATTTCACTGCAAGTATTGTGGTTAATGTAAGCATGATTCCTTGCAAAAGGTGTCAGTTTTGTTGCCAGAAAAAAGGGGAAAAACCCTATTAGTATAATTTGGTACTGGCAAAGGAGGTCCCATGATGTTTGTTGTTGTTATTAAACAGGTCCCTGCGGGGTGGGCTGGTAGGAACGAATAACCAAAGAATATAAACATAATGTATTATTACACTTGTTTAGCCAGGAAAGCGTCACTGAGTCTAAAGGTTTTTGTAGGGTCCTGCCAAGTGTTTGCAGTAGGGGGCGATGTTGCTACACGGACGGACGGACGGACGATATAATCTATTGTAGGCTGGTTCACTTCGTTCCTACCAGTAATATGCCACCGCAGATCCATGGCGAAGTGCAATCACGACAGCCGCCTCAAGGCCCGTGGGAGCTGTGGTGGTGCAGCGCGCTGAGCGAGAGACCGGCCACGTGGAGTGAGCCTGGGTTCGAATCCCACCCACGAACAAAAACCGTGGAGAAACACGGCACATCGACGCCGGACTTCAAACAGAGAGGCGCGTGATTCACTTACGGATAAAGTGCGTACGTGGGATTTGTTAACGTGTGTCTCTGTACCAATGACAGGTGCTGTGGTGTGTGCAGGAGGGGGATGGAGAGGACTGTGCCTGGGAGGAGGATGTAACCTGGAAGAAGATGGGGAAGCGGAGAGAAGCAGATGGGGGGGAAAGAAAGTGAAAAAATTTCTTGGAACTAAAAAACTTTTTTCTTCTTGGTTCTTTCGGTAAAGTCACGTAGGTGTTCATTCAGACGCTGTCTTTCTGACAGACCTGTTCTTCACCTGAGGACGGCTGCTTGCGTTGTGGCCGAAACGTCGTGAGAATTATTTTATTATGTTTTATTTTTATTATTTTATTACTTCCCTTCTATGTGACTTTACCGAAAGAACCAAGAAGATGAATCCCTGCAGTCACGAAAGCTTTAAATCGAGCTAAAAAACCTTTGTCCACTAGGGGGCGCTGTTCTGCCACTAGGTGGCGCTGTTCCATTACATTTTACCTTACAAACGCTCCTTTTCAAGCATATATAGCGATTTCCGCTGGATTCCCGACACATTTAAGCCGTCAGCGAGATGTCATGCAAATGTCAACATGAAACGAAGCGCCGAAACATAAATTGCACACTGAGAATGGCGAATTGGAGAATTTCCTCGCTTAGGGGCGCTAATATCAAGTTCAAACTGCTCATTTGGACGATTAAAATTTAACAGAAATTTACAAAAAAATAAAACGTACATTTACGAAATAAAAATGCCTCAGTGCTTAGATTCACTTTCATTTCACGTAAAACGTATGGCTTACACCTCTAACATGTTGGATAATCGATCTATTTTCTTTAAAATCATCGCTTTAAAGGCAAAATGTCGTCAGACTGCAGCAGCACACCAAGGACAAACTCAATGAAAGTGAATCTTGACTTAAAGCTTTCGTGACTGCAGGAATTCATACTCTGTTGGTTTTTTCGGTGAAAGACCATTGCTTGTGTTGCGATCGAAACGTCGTGATTTTTTAAAATATTTTATTATTTTTCTATCTACGTGACTTTACCTAAAGACCCAAAGAGTATCAATGGAAGTGGCTTCATCACCGTGTGGAAATGTAAATGCACGTTCATTCACACCCTACAGGACTCGTGACGGGGCAGCAGGTACATCGCTCGGTTGACGGATGACCACGAGACTTGAAGCAACATAGAACACAGGTCACGCTCACCTCACGGTTCCCGGCTCCAGGTGCGGGATTTCCAGGTGGCCCGTGACCCCGGGATGCTCAGGTGAAGGTCCCCGGATTTCCCCGGTGGACCCAGGTGTGCCCGGCAGCCCCTCAACTCCATCATCCTGACCCACCCCTACTGGACACCTGTGAAAAAGAGCTTCATAGCTCATCGGATTTCTCCAGGATAAATAAATACTCCGATTCTGATCTTCTCCGCAGTGAAGGAGTGGTCCGGGCAGACCCCCAAACTCCCTAGTCGCGTCTTGGCCTCCACTGAGCATCTGAAGCAACCACCTGGACTCGGAACTCAGGTGGCGAATTCTACCCAGAGTCCAACCGGGTGTGTATGGAGGCGTTAAAGTTGCGTGTCGACTCAGCCTCAAATGAGTACCTTGTACGATCTGTAAACATCGTCACTGGTGAGACAAAGGCGGCCGGGCGTGGTGCTGGCCAACCACCCCCTCGTGTACCGTTCCGGCCTTCATAGGTACTATTCGCTAACAGCACTTGCCCCAAATGTCTGTTAAGGCTACACGGGGGGGGGTCTTTGTATTTGTAGGAATGTGTGTGAGTGGGGTCGTGTTTATGGAGTAGGAATGGCCAAACACATAGGTACGGTACACCGGTCACATCGATGTTCTGCTTTCGATACATCAATGTTTTGAAACCTGGACAAGACAAGACCGGGACACTCAGGATATCTCCGAGGCCACGTCTACCAAACGGTGATCGAACCCTGGGTCTCCCTTCAACCCGCGATGACCAGCATGGTGAAGTTTGGTCGAACAACACTCGTGACCGACATGGCGTGTGGAGGGGGGGGGACCTCAGCCAGCAGTGGATTGACCAAAGGACCGTCAGGCTGTGATGATCATCACATGGGCGAGCATCGATTCCCTCTCCTCCAGGAATCGAGTCTTTGCTGCCTCTCAAACATTGAACACATTCGAGCATCTTCTTGGTTCTTTCGGTAAAGTCACGTAGAAGGGAAGTAATAAAATAATACAAATTAAACATAATAAATAATTCTCACGTTTCGGCCACAACGCAAGCAGCCGTCCTCAGGTGGAGAACAGGTCCGTCAAGTGTTTTATTTTATTACTTCCCTTCTACGTGACTTTACCGAAAGAACCAAGAAGATGAATCCCTGCAGTCACGAAAGCTTTAAATCGAAACATTCGAGCAGTTCACCAGCACTGCTCGAAGAAAGAATGCCCCTGGGCTGATGAGACAACTGAATGTTTAACAAAAAAATCAACAAACGCGGCTGAAATAATTCACTGCTGGAAGAAGGCCGTGGTTGCCGATGTGATGTGAGAGGGTAAAAAAAAACGTTATTTATTTATGCGACGGAGGAGGAGGCGCGGAGGGGGCAGATATGGGAAAGAGGCTGCGTATTGTCTGATTATTTCTATCCCATTCAACCCCCGATTCCTTTTGGAGACTTGGAATCCAGTCATATGCTAATGCGCTTCGGCCAGGCATGACTTCACTCTGTACACAGCTCTTTCACAATGCACAATGGGTCAAGCACACACATAACTCTTTCCACCTCAATGCAGCCTCCCCCCCTCCACCACCACGCCCCCCAATTCAAATTTTCATCATGTTACTTTTATTTATTCCAGGGCACACATACGGGTGTCGACATTTTGACTTACACGGTGGTGGTGATGGTGGTGGTGTAGTTTAGGGCAACAAAATCCATTGCTGTGTTCGGCTACACGGCCATTCACCGAGCCGTGTTGGTGAAGTGTGGTCAGATATACCGCATTCCACGATGACGGGAGGACGGACATCATCTAACAGTGGATTGGCACTAGGCCTGTAGCGTCTGCACAAGAGTCCTCTTTGATTTTCAAGTTCCGACAATAACAAAACTGTTGCATGTCAAATCAGAACATTTCAACTTAAAAAAAAGTCAAATTTTTTTCAGGGTCCCACAGTTTCAAGTGCGAACTTCTCGTCAGCCAGCCTCTCTGCCACATCTCTGTTTTCTGAAGGGTCATTGCCTGAAACGTCAACCTATTATATATATATTTTAAATAAGATTTTACTAGGTAATGCCAGTGATGGCTGGCGAGTATCATTGACTCGTCTCCAGCGTCTGGTTTGTTGCTCCGTCTCGATGCAGGGCAAATGCAATCGGCCCAAGTTCGCAATGCGTGCAGAGAATTCGCAACGACAATCATCTGCGTTTATTGATGCGTTACAATCATAAATTTGACGCGCAAATCAATTTACGTTAATTAATTAACCATTACACGCCTTCACAAAAGCCCCAAAGAGTTGGAGAGTATTTTTCAGCAGTCCCGATTGCAATGTTTGGCCAATTACTTTAAAAATGTTTTTGAAAGTGCAGTATCATTACTGGCGTGAAAAGAAAAAAAAAGTGAATGGAGAAAACCCACACGTACAATGGGCAGAACCACCTACTTGCTGTACTCCAACAAAAATCACGATTCATCATCAGCCGATGATCTATCCCAGGCGTTGGCAACATGCGGCTCATCAAAAGAACGCATTCGTGACGTCACTTACCAAGGGCCTCACCACGTGACCTCGTGTTCACCACGCAGTGCATCGTGGGCTCTTGAAATATTGAGTTGTTTTTTTTAACACTACCGACTTCGACACGAAAAATGTTTCTTGTAATTTTTTTTTGGTTTGCCGAGCGAACTTTATTGCTCCATCTCCACAAATGGAACGTTCCTCGCGACGTTTCGAGCCCCCCACCTCTCGTCTGTCTCTCGGTGCAACTCCGAGCGTGCACCGACCTCTCCATGCTCCGGCAACATTGCAATAATAATAATAAACACATTGTCCTGCGGAGGGATCTGGTAGGAACGTTGGGTTGCTCGGTCAATGGCCAGGGTCAACGGCGGCGTGGTGTATTCCGCAAATATGCCCGACTGTGAAGGCGGGCACAAGCCGGCGTGAGTAGGTTAAACGTTGAGTTTTATAAGGGCACCACGAGGTGACCAGCCCCTCCCCACCCAGCCCTTCCCATCCCAGCACCTCCCTGCACGACGGACGGACACAATAATCCCCTGTGGGCTGGTGTAACCTCCCCAAGCCTCCCCACCCAGCCCCTCCCCACCCAGCCCCTCCCTGCACGACGGACGGACACAATAATCCCCTGTGGGCTGGTGTAACCAGGAGGTCCCTACCAGTATAATAGTCTGCACTGCCATAACGCTGCGCGTTTTCATAACGCGAATTGGACAGAACGCGATGAATGTATTCGGGAAGACATTTTTTTTATATAACGCGGATGCGAATCGGATATAACGCGATCGAGTGAACAGAACCACGTGGCGCGAGTGGGAATAAGCGGCAGAAACGGCTGCCTCGCAAGGCGGGATGCTGCTGGATGATTGTGGATGCTACCCACGAGCCTCAGCCTTTGTTCAGCCTGCGTACGCATCTCACGTGTTATCGCGTACTGTGCTCTACCCGACATTATTCATTTGCAACGCGATTTTTCCACAACGCGGTGTTCTTCAGGAACGCAACTACCGCGCCGGAGGAGAACAGACTGTAACAAGAATGAACAATAAGCCAACGCGCGTGCTGTCGCCGCGTTAGACAACAGCTGACAATGCTCGGGCCCGACAGCCAATCTGCGGCTGGGACGAGTAAAGCTGGGGTTTGAGGGTCACGTTGGTCAGAGGTCAAATGCCACGACTGACCCCGTGCCATTGTGGAAGCCCAGACACTCGGCCGCGAGAGCCGGTGCACAAACAGAAGGCGTCTAGACTGGGAGCTCTTCGAGGATTCGTTGAGACAGCGACACCCCCAACCCCCACCCCGCATTGTACGCACAGCGGTTAAGAGCACAGCACTGTGAACCCGAAGGCCCTCGTTTGATTCCCATTCATGGCTTGACATTCGTGGAGAGTGATACCTCAACCGGTCCTGGGCCATCTCTTCACAAACTCCACGCTTACCAGTGATGAAATGTGGTAAATCAATCGGCCCCCGCCCACCCCCCACCCACCTATGACCGACACAAGCAGTGTGAAGCCTTCATCCGGGCAGCGAATTAATAAAAAGTTGGCAATACTTTGATGTGTTGTGGCCTGGCTCAGATGCCGCTCGACCCTCTCATACAATTTCAATTAATACAGCCTCTGCATGAAACTGCATCTGAAGACACTGTACATCGTGTAGAAATGTGTCGCAACCAAATACTTTGAACGCGTGACGTTGATTCTACATTGCGGAGGGAAAAACTGGAGGCCCCGGAGAAAAATCCACGCGACCACGAGGAGAGAGAGAGACACGTAAACTCCAAATACAGGGTGCTTTAAAAAACGTTAACACTTTTTGAGGGAATATCGTTTTTAATGGAAAAAGAACGGATAATACACTGTAATATGATAACAAATGTAATGTTAATAGCTTTAGAAAGTCAAAGAGTCTCCACTTTCTCGAGCCATCATTGTCAACACGTGCCTGGAATCTTCTCCAGGTGATCTCCAGAGCCCGAAGGCACCACATATCTCGTGGTATCGTTCCAAATTCTCCGAAGTGTTAAACATTTGTTTTGAAGCACCCTGAATATACGCATACGGGTACGCAGGCAGGGCGGGTGGCGGTGGGGTGGGTGCTAATAGTCAGAGAAAGGGAAACACAGGAGAGAGGAGAGAGAGGGAAACGCTGCAGCACAGCCTGGGACCAAGCAAACCAGACCCCGACACCACCACTGCGACAAAAACGATGAGCCCCAGGGGCATCCAGGGCAAGACCAAACGAGTCCCTAAGCATCCAGAGACACTGGGACCCATTCACTCATAAGCCCTGAGGGCAGCACGATGAGTTTCAAGGCAACCTCCCCCCGGGACATTAGACAACGTTCTCGACAGAAATATGAATATACAACTGTGAGTGGGTCAGACTCAAAGCTACGCACAGATGGGTGCACACAAAAAGCCTCGCTGTACTGCCACCTCCTGGCCACCTCGCAACCGAGGGGATTTGAAGCGGTAACTCCCAAAGAGAGCGAAATCAGGTAATTATTGATTTCCGTCGGATTTTTTCACTTTTAACGGAACGTGGTTGAGAAGCAGACTTTACAGAACTACTTTCAACATCGCTCCGAGTGACTTCATCCACACACACTAGAGGAGTCAACACATTCCCATGCACTCTGCTGCAGAGGAAAAATGTTCATCACACATCAAAAGCCAACGTTTGATTCCGAGAGAAGCAATTTTTTTGCTCCCAAAATAAATTGCAAAAAAAACAAATGTGTAACGCGACCGTTTGGCGTGCGGTCATTGGTGACCGTGCTGCGACCATCGACTCTCTCCACTTGGCAGGACCCTCCTGGAATAAAAAAAGGCATGTGACTTGGTGGGTAAACAAGTGGGCGTAAAAACAACAAGTATAACCCGTAAAAACAAAGTTTTTCACTCTAAATCCTTTATATGCGTGGCGGCTAGAGTCCTCTCGTCCTCTGGCTTGAGATGGCTGCCACCTATGGGTCAGATGATTGTCTGCCAGTATAAAGCAATTGGTAATTAAATATTTAATTTGTTTTCCCTAAACAGTGTAAAATTTTGGAAAAAAAATTTCACGAACATTAATTGTCTCGCACAACGAGTCTGTGTGCAAAATGTCAGCTCGATTGGATCACGGGAAGTGGGTTAAAAAACGACCGAAAGATTTGCACGGTCGTAAGCAAGCAAGCAAGCAAGCACGCAAGCAAGCGAACTTAATATAAAGGATTTAAAAATGATCCGACTCCGCGCCTATGACCGCCGAACTACCCAGCAGCCACCTCGCGTGGAAAAAAAACAAATTCAAAGCGACGATCTTTCTCGGTGTGCGAACGCCGAGCGACCGTGCTGACCGAAACTCACCGCCGCTATCCACATTAGAGACCCCCCCCCCACGCTCATGTCACGGTCGAGTAGCCGCCGACACCCGGATTCAAATCCAGGATCTCAACATCCACAACAAAAAAAAAATTTGGGTTAGATCGCGTAAATATAAACGTGCGTCGTTAAAGCCGCCCACCACCCGAAACAGCCAATTAGTAAGGTTTGTCACGTAAACAGAACGCGGCAATTCGTTACCACTTCAGCACACCGGTTGGGTTGTGTGTTGGAGAGTAAACTCACGGCATTTACAATTCGAGTCCTGTGACGTTTCGCCGGTGGTTACAACCAGCTTCATCAGGCGACCCCCCCCCCCTCCCTGACCACCTCACAGGGCATCAACAACAACATCAACAACCAAACAGTTGACGTAGTAAACGTAACGAGGGGTAAACGGTGTGACGGATGTTTGTTTTTTTCCCCTTAAATCCTCAGCAGGTTCACATGGTGCTCTCGAGGGTGCGGTAGCTGTCCTTGCTCTTGAGCTCCAGGAAGTGTTTGGGTCTCCGCGTGCGGGGCCCCGCCGCCGGGAGGTACGTGACTTGCACGGCTGCGGCGGCGTCGGAAGTGTTGGAGGCCGCCGCCGCTGCCGTGGCGGACGAGGACGACGAGGGGACGTTGGCGGTGCACGTCGACGACGACGGAGACGTCGGGGAAGCGGGCGACGAGGTGGAGTTGCCCGCGGCTCTCCGCGGGCCGGAGGTGCCGTGACGCCCGTCCGAGGGAGGCGAGTTGGTGTCGCCGCTGGTTGACGAGCCGCCGCCGCCGCCACCGCCGGGGAAACCGAGTTCGCGAGCAGCTGCCCGGTGCTGCTGCTGCTGAGCGATGGCCTGCGACTGCACGCTGCAGGGGTTTCGGCAACACAGAGTAGCGGCCGTAGTCCAGAGGTCGCAAACGGGTTTTGATTCCTTACCCGTACCCGGCCACACCAGGGTCGCAAACGGGTACCCGATACCCGTACCCTACCCATACCCGGCCGGGTACGGGTAGGGTACGGGTATCGGGTACCTGATTGCGACCTCTGGGATGAAGCCATGTTGCAGGCGCGGGTGGGTTGATTCTAGGAACTTTAATTGTGAGAAGAGACAAGACGTTGGGAAATGAGTGACAAACAGTTACTCACCAGTGACTCACGGTCTACCCGTACCCAGCCGCACCAGGGTCGCAAACGGGTACGGGTAGCCGGGTAACCGGTTGCGACCTCTGCCGTAGTCAGCTGGGCGCAGCGGTGGTGAGATGTTAACTCCATCGCCTGGTGTGCAGGACGTCGTGGGTTCGACCCGGACCCTGACGCCTGCCGTATATTTGGGAGTTTGCGTGTCTCTCTCTCCCTGTGGTCGTGCGGATTTTCTCCGGGTCCTCCGGTTATTCCCTCCACATTTAAGATCGACATCAGGCGTTCAGAATATTTGGCTGCTATAAATGTCCGTATGATAAGCCACTTCGTTGAGCTATCAATTAGCGGCTAGGTGGCTTCTGAAAAATATCTATATAGCTCAGTGGGCCTTATCTGGTGAAATAAAAATCAGTTTAGTTTTTAGTTTAGTTTGTTCGCTGTTGAATGGAGGCCACGCCCGAAGCCGTCCCCTTCCGATGGCGTTGCCGGCCGACACAACATACGCCGAAAATTATGTACTGCTGCCCCTGCTTGGCCCTGAGCTCGACCAAGATGTATCATGAGGCCAGCGTATCACGGGCTTGTGTCTGGCTCGGCTCGGCAAATAGTCAGTGGGAAAGCACCCATACCCGTGCTGGCTTGGCTAGGAGAATACAAGACGTTAAAAGTTACACATTCATTGAAATATTATTGCATTGTATATTTTTTCACCCGCTTGCTTACCCATTCATGAGCTCATTCAGGAGATCCATGTACTTCTCAAATTCCACCTCTCCAAACTCCTGGGATGGACAATCAGGACACGGATGTTACATTAATCACAGGACGTTCCTTCCAGCCATTCCGATCTGAGTACCGTCTAATTGTAAATCCGGTACAGGAGTTCCTTAAACACACAACCAGAGCTGGACTTTGCAGGATTGAAAGACAAACCAAATTTAATATTACGAATTAGCCAGGTGCGGTGACACACACCGACGAAACGGAACCGTGAAGGCAAAGGTTGGTGGATTACGAAGATTTGTGAAAAACTCCAAACCCACTGCACTGCGAAGTTGCCAGGAGAAACCATTTTTTAAATCCTTTATATTAAGTTTGCTTGCTTGCTTGCTTACGACCGTGCAAATCTTTCGGTCGTTTTTTAACCCACTTCCCGTGATCCAATCGAGCTGACATTTTGCACACAGACTCGTTGTGCGAGACAATTAATTTTCGTGAAAATTTTTTTCCTAAATTTTACACTGTTTAGGGAAAAAAATTAAATATTTAATTACCAATTGTTTAATACTGGCAGACAATCATCTGACCCATAGGTGGCAGCCATCTCAAGCCAGAGGACGAGAGGACTCTAGCCGCCACGCATATAAAGGATTTATAGTGAAAAACTTTGTTTTTACGGGTTATACTTATTTTTTACCAGGTAAGGTCCACCAAGCTATGTAGCTACTTTTCAGAAGCGACAAATCATAGCTCAACGAAGTGGCTTATCATCTTGTGGAAATTGATAGCAGCCAAATACTCTAAACCACCATTGGAACCTCATTTGCCAGTAAAAAATATGAAAAAAAGTTTTTACCCTTCTATCTGGCAACAAAACTGACACCTTTTTTACAAGGAGTCATGTTTGCATAGACCACAATACCTGCAGTCATAATGCAAACCAAAAACATAACTCTGATAATGTATGCACTGTCCTTGTAAGTTGATTGGTCCACAACTGCGTCATCTGGTCCAACCCATGTGAGACTAGGCTCTAAGGAAAGCTGTCTCGGGTGTGGACCAATCAACTTCAAGGACAGTGCACAATATCAGAGTTATGTTTTTTGTTTGCATTATGACTGCAGGTATTGTGGTCTATGCAAAAATGACTCCTTGTAAAAAAGTGTCAGTTTTGTTGCCAGATAGAAGGGTAAAAAACCAATTATCATACTCTAAACCAGTGGTTGTCAACCTTTACTGCAGCCGACCACCACTCGCAGAGTGACTGATGCGAGATGCAACTCTGCTTCTCAGAAAGGGCATCTCGCACCCCCAGGGAGTGAGCACACCCCACGCTAAGAACCAAAGCTCTAAACGAATGATTGAAATGTGGAGGAAAAAACCGGAGGACCCGGAGAAAAAAACCACGCGACCACGGGGAGGCGTCCGGGTTGGGTTCGAACCCCCGACCTCCTGTATACCAGGCGAGGTAGGTAACATCTCACCATCACGGCACCCCTAAGTGGGTTAGTCAACCCGTCTTAGGGTGAGCAAAGAGGCCCCCCCCCACCCACTCCCACCACGCCACCCTCTACTCGCCTGCGTGCCGTAGCGGGCGTGATCGTAGGCGTCTGCGAACGCGTGCACGGTGCTGTCGCACACGGTCAGCTCCCCCGGGTGAGTCCTCAGCAGGTCGAGGAGGTGGACCCGGAGGTTGCGCGCGTGGCAGCGCATCAGCGGCTCCAGCTCCTGCAGCCGCTCGTCTGTGCCAACCCCAACGTTGTTGTGTCAGGGGTTTAGGGCGCCGCGGTGGAGAGATGTTAACTACCTCAGCTGGTATACAGGAGGTCGGGTTCGATCCCTACCCTGATGCCTGCTGCTGTATATTTGGAGTTTGCGTGTCTCTCTCTCTCATCATCATCACGGTGGCTAGGAGATGTTGACTACCTCGCGTGGTATACAGGAGGTCGTGAGTTCGATGCCGACGCTGATGCCTGCTGTATATTCGGAGTTTGCGTGTTCTATCTCCCAGTGGTCGCCTGGATTTTTCCCCGGGCCCTCTGGTTTTTACCTCCACATTTAGAATCAACATCGCGCGTTTTTTCCACGCGATGATAAGCGACTTCGTTGAGCCATCGCTTGTGGCCAGGCCGCTTCTAAAAAAAATTCGTGTAGCTCAGTGGGTCTTACCTGGTAAAGTAAAAAATAGTTTCATTTAGAGAACAAGGCAGCTTAAGTCGAGGGGGTGGGAGGGGGGTTTCATGTCGAGTGATGAAGGTGGCCGGACGGGCGTAGTGCCGATGCCACTCCGCCCCTTCGTGCACCGCGCTAGCTCACAGCTCTTGCCCCAACAGTCTGTTAAAGGCTATACAGGCGATCTTTGTCTTTGTGTGTGTGTACGATGGTGGGGAGCGGTGGTGTAGCGGTTTAGCCGCGCTACGAGCCCGGCGACCCAGGTTCGATTCCCGCTCACGGCCAACAACACCAGTGACAAATACCTGAACCGGTCCATGGGCCTCCCCTAGATCGACTGGGCCTCAAATTAGTACCTGGTGCGGTGTGTAAACATCGCCACTAAGGAGACAAAGGCAGCCGGGCATGGTGCTGGCCACCCACCCGCTCGTGTGCCGTGTCGGCCTTCATAAGCGCTCGCTAACAGCACTTGCCCCAACAGTCTGTTAAGGCTATACGGGGGATCTTTGTCTTTGGTGGAACCCAGAATGTTCGACTCACACCTCAGACAACGCAGCACATGTTCAACTCACCCAGCTGATCAACAGCATCAAGCGCTTTCATTCTGTACAAGTAGTTAAATCCACCTGCAACACAACCCACAGACACACCGTCAACAGGTCGTGATCCATCCACTGTTGTGGATGTAGTAGTCCTCCCCACCCTCCCGCACCAAGTTGCTCCTATTTTTCCACGTGATAAGCCACTTCACTGAGCTATCATTTGTGGCCAGGTCGCTTCTAAAAAAACTAATAGCTCAGTGGGCTTCACCTGGTAAGATAAAAGATTGTTTAGATTTATTAGTATTATTTTTTTCAGTGATGTGTTTACCTTTCCTATACTTTACACTGCTACTGTGTTTTTGTACTGTTTGTTGTTGTAACGATCTGACCCCGTGCCCCTGACTGGACATCTGTGAAATAGAGCTTCGAAGCTCATCAAATTCCTCCAATATAAACAAAGATCCTGATTCTGTCTCGCTTGGCTCTCGCAGCGATCCACTGTCCGCACGAACAAGCCCCGAGTCCTTCGCTCTCTCCCCGAGTCCTTCGCTCTCTCCCCGAGTCCTTCGCTCTCTCCCCGATTCCTTCGCTCTCTCCCCGAGTCCTTCGCTCTCTCCCCGAGTCCTTCGCTCTCTCCCCGATTCCTTCGCTCTCTCCCCGATTCCTTCGCTCTCTCCCCGATTCCTTCGCTCTCTCCCCGATTCCTTCGCTCTCTCCCCGATTCCTTCGCTCTCTCCCGAGTCCTCGCTCTCTCCCCGATTCCTTCGCTCTCTCCCCGATTCCTTCGCTCTCTCCCCGATTCCTTCGCTCTCTCCCGATTCCTTCGCTCTCTCCCCGATTCCTTCGCTCTCCCCGATTCCTCCTCTCCGATTCCTTCGCTCTCTCCCCGATTCCTTCGCTCTCTCCCGATTCCTTCGCTCTCTCCCGATTTCCTTCGCCTCTCTCCCCGATTCCTTCGCTCTCTCCCGAGTCCTTCGCTCTCTCCCCGGATTCCTTCGCTCTCTCCCGAGTCCTTCGCTCTCTCCCGAGTCCTTCGCTCTCTCCCCGATTCCTTCGGCTCTCTCCCCGAGTCCTTCGCTCTCTCCCCGATTTCCTTCGCTCTCTCCCCCGATTCCTTCGCTCTCTCCCCGATTCCTTCGCTCTCTCCCCGATTCCTTCGCTCTCTCCCCGATTCCTTCGCTCTCTCCCGATTCCTTCGCTCTCTCCCCGATTCCCTTCGCTCTCTCCCGATTCCTTCGCTCTCTCCCCGATTCCTTCGCTCTCTCCCCGATTCCTTCGCTCTCTCCCCGATTCCTTCGCTCTCTCCCCGATTCCTTCGCTCTCTCCCCGATTCCTTCGCTCTCTCCCCGATTCCTTCGCTCTCTCCCCGATTCCTTCGCTCTCTCCCCGATTCCTTCGCTCTCTCCCCGATTCCTTCGCTCTCTCCCCGATTCCTTCGCTCTCTCCCCGATTCCTTCGCTCTCTCCCCGATTCCTTCGCTCTCTCCCCGATTCCTTCGCTCTCTCCCCGATTCCTTCGCTCTCTCCCCGATTCCTTCGCTCTCTCCCCGATTCCTTCGCTCTCTCCCCGATTCCTTCGCTCTCTCACCGAGTCCTTCGCTCTCTCCCCGATCCTTCGCTCTCTCCCCGATGTCCTTCGCTCTCTCCCGAGTCCTTCGCTCTCTCCCCGATTCCTTCGCTCTCTCCCCGATTCCTTCGCTCTCTCCCCGAGTTCTTCGCTCTCTCCCCGATTCCTTCGCTCTCTCCCCGTTCCTCGCTCTCTCCCCGAGTCCTTCGCTCTCTCCCCGATTCCTTCGCTCTCTCCCCGATTCCTTCGCTCTCTCCCCGATTCCTTCGCTCTCTCCCCGATTCCTTCGCTCTTCTCTCCTCTCTCCGAGTCCTTCGCTTCCTCAGTCTTCTCCCGATTCCTTCGCTCTCTCCCCGAGTCCTTCGCTCTCTCCCCGATTCCTTCGCTCTCTCCCCGAGTCCTTACGCTCTCTCACTGATTCCTTCGCTCTCCTCCCCGATTCCTTCGCTCTCTCCCCGAGTCCTTCGCTCTCTCCCCGATTCCTTCGCTCTCTCCCCGAGTCCTTCGCTCTCTCCCCGATTCCTTCGCTCTCTCCCCGATTCCTTCGCTCTCTCCCCGATTCCTTCGCTCTCTCCTGAGTCCTTCGCTCTCTCCCGATTCCTTCGCTTCTCTCCCCGATCCTTCGCTCTCTCCCCGAGTCCTTCGCTCTCTCCCCGATTCCTTCGCTCTCTCCCCGATTCCTTCGCTCTCTCCCCGAGTCCTTCGCTCTCTCCCCGATTCCTTCGCTCTCTCCCCGATTCCTTCGCTCTCTCCCCGATTCCTTCGCTCTCTCCCCGATTCCTTCGCTCTCTCCCCGAGTCCTTCGCTCTCTCCCCGAGTCCTTCGCTCTCTCCCCGAGTCCTTCGCTCTCTCCCCGAGTCCTTCGCTCTCTCCCCGATTCCTTCGCTCTCTCCCCGATTCCTTCGCTCTCTCCCCGAGTCCTTCGCTCTCTCCCCGAGTCCTTCGCTCTCTCCCCGAGTTTTTCGCTCTCTCCCCGAGTCCACGATGGACGTCTTCTCTGGTGTTGTCCCCTCCGTTGGCTGCCACTTCGGTCGTCGAGTCTCCACAGGTGGTCCGTTCGAGCGGCGCGTCTCGCTCAAACCCATCGGGGAGGCCGCTAATATTAACGACGATGACATTTTCACGCGCCACATTTCGCAGACAAGTCAACAACTCAAGAGGCGCGGAGGCGAGCTCAGGGCCGCTCGAAAGCCTGACCCAAACGGAGAGAGAGGCCTTCAGATGTTCCTTGAAAGTTCACAGTGCATTTGATGTTACGGATGTGCAAAGGATACTCAAGTCGATAAACAAGAAGCCAACGTCACGCCCTACGGTTGGGGTAGGAACTCCTCCGCACCACAGGCGGTTGGGTGACCTTTCGCGGCTCGGCATCACGATCTGATTCAAGTGGCGTGTCGGTTTTTAGTTTGTATTCATCTCCTGCGTGTTATTCGATTACGTTGTGAGCGGGCTGGGCCAGGGTTTGGCAAAAGACGTTGCTCACTTTTCACTCGGGAAGCCGGAGAGCAGAGGCTCACCGCTAAAACAACGATTACTTATATTTAATGCACAAGTAACAAATATACTCTGAAGGAGAATTAAAATTTAAACAAATTCAAACATTGATGATTGTCAATGATTCTCATCATGTTATCTGGGACACTGTTCCAGTATCCAATCAAGCTATTATTTACAACACCGTTAGATCCAACTGATCTTCGAGGAGAGAATTTTTGCAATTTAAATCCAGTGCTTCAACACCATCTGTCTGGGTGCACAGTAAGATAGGTAAACTTTTCCTTTAAATGAATTTTTTTTCCAACAAATAAAATCTCGCGTATGAAGAAGAGGAAAGTGTTCCCTTTTCCTTACGTCTGCAAAGGAGATTTAGTTTAACTTGAAGAGATCAACAAGGTGCTTCCTGCAGTGAGGTACCTAGCGTCCGCAATATTATTTCCCTCCCTCGTCTCATTTGTAGGGTTTTGTTCATGGGATGAAGAGTCTGGCAACGGATATTTTTGATCGATTTTGCAGAGTTGGCGTGAATGCGCGCTCAATCAATCGATTGATCCCAGTTTATCACGCTCTAAATTAAGGCGGTTCTGGTTCCTGTACACTTTAGAGATCAGATTAGATTGAAAACTCGTTTCTTTAGAACTGCTTTTTGCGTTTAGTTTGTCATCCTTCCCCCGCACCTCCTATTAGCACGCTTGGCTACGTACGGTGCGAAATAAGTTCAACACACGTACCCACGTACAGTATTGTTCTTCTTCTTCTTGGTTCTTTCGGTAAAGTCACGTAGAAGGGAAATAATAAAATAATAAAACATAATAAAATACAATTCTCACGACGTTTCGGCCACAACGCAAGCAGCAGCCGTCCTCAGGTGAAGAACAGGTCTGTCGGAAAGACAACGTCTGTATTGTTCTTGTGGGCACTACATCCCAGAGGTTGCAAACGGGTTTTGATTCCTTACCCGTACCCATACCCGGCCGCACCAGGGTCGCAAACGGGTACCCGTACCCGGCCGTACCCGTACCCTACCCGTACCCGGCCGGGTACGGGTAGGGTACGGGTATCAGGTACCTGATTGCGACCTCTGGGATGAAGCAATGTTGCAGGCGCGGGTAGGTTGATTCTAGGAACTTGAATTGTGAGAAGAGACAAGACGTTGGGAAATGAGTGACAAACGGTTACTCACCAGTGACTCACGGTCTACCCGTACCCGGCCGCACCAGGGTCGCAAACGGGTACCCGTACCCCCGTACCCGGCCGGGTACGGGTAGCCGGGTATCGGGTAGGGTACGGGTATCGGGTACCCGGTTGCGACCTCTGCTACATCCGGCTGTGGGAATGCGCCGCAAGGGAAGCTTACGCACAATTTGGCCCGAGCTCCTGCAGCTGCTGGAGGCGAGGGTCGGACTCCGTCAGGAATTTGGGAGCCCACGAAAGCTCCTGGATACGACTCAGCCGCCTCTCGATCTCCTCCCTGAGATCCTGGAGACGCACAGAGACAAAGATCCCCACCCCCACCGCATAGTGATTACCACACTGCATTGGCCCTTCCGGTTTCTGAACGAATACATTACAAGGTTGCACTCATTACCGATCGCTCGCCACAAATGAACCACAATACCACGCCGATCTCGTCGAGGAGAATAAACCATCACGCGAACTCCGGTCATCCTCGCAGCGGCTTTTGGCTAACCATCGAACAAAGATGGTCACTGCATCGCGCGCTCCGGATGTGCTTCTGCAGCCGTTTGGAACGCCCTTCCTTCCGATATTAGGAAGCCATTGGAGCGATGTGCTTTTAAATGAAGATTGAAAACGTATTTCTTTCGAACCGCTTTTTTGTGTTTAGTTTGTTGTCCTTCCCCCGCACCTCCGATTGGCACGGTTGGCTTCATATGGTGCGAAAGAAGTTCAACATACATACACTGTTGGTGGGGCAAGTGCTGTTAGCGAGTAGTAGTACCAATGAAGGCCGGCACAGCACACGAGGGCAGTGGGTGGGTGGCCAGCACCACGACCGGCCTCCGTTTTCATCCCCGCACCAAGTACTCGTTTAAGACCGAGTCCAGCTAGGGGAGGCCCAGGACTGGTTTAGATATTGGTCGCGAGCGGGAATCTAATTCAGGACGCTGGGTTCGTAACACGGTGCACTAACCACTACACTGCCACTCCCCTGTAGAAACGCACATGGACACACACACAAACACCACGCTCTTACAGCCAGAGCTCCAGAGGTCTAGAAAATTAAACAAACTATTTGGTGCTGGCAGTGGTGCACAAGTAGAAATAACAAAACACTCAAGACATCCGTCAACAACGCTGTGTGTCCTTAAAAGGAAACAAATATTGAATAGCCGACGCTAAGGGCAATGTCACATCTTCATTACGCATCAATGGGCTCACATGAATAAGGGCCAAAATATTACCTGTTATATATTTTTTACTTTTAAGGCCAGTGTTATTGACGAATGCGTTGAGAGGTCACCAGGAAGGCTACCATTCGGCGCGGATCACACGGAGGTCATGGTGACACAAGTCTCCGTCATCAGGTGGAACCGTCACAGCTAGATGATGTATCATGATACAGTACATTTTGCTGTGACGGTACTACCTGATGACGGAGACTTGTGTTGCCTCCGAAACGTCGTGATTTATTATTTTATTTATATTATTACTTCTATTAATTTTAATTTAAAAAATTCCTACGTGACTTCACCGAAAAAACCTAAGAGTATGAATCCTTGCAGTCACGAAAGCTTCAAATCTAGAATTCAATTATTTTTATTTTATCAGGTAAGGCCCACGGCGCTATATAGTTCTTTTCCAGAAGCGATCTGGCTATCACAAATGATAGCTCAACAAAGTGGCTTATCGCGCGGAAATGTATAGCAGTCAAATACTCTTAAACGAACGTTGATTCTAAATGTGGAGGGAAAAACCGGAGAAAAATCCACGCGACCACGGGGAAAGAGACACTCAAAGTCCAAATATACAGCCGTCAGGGCAGGGATAAAACCCACGACCTCCTGTATGCCAGGCGAGGGAGTTAACATTATCGCTACCGCGGCGCCTAAAATCGCGAATTTAAATGAAGCCTCAAAGCGAAATTTCGCAAATTACTCTTAGTCACACATTAGGGTTAGGCGCTTCCAAATATTTATTTCCACAAAAAAAATGTCCGCACATCGTGCGCTGAAAATAGAAAGATACTAGATTTGAAGCTTTCGTGACTGCAAGGATTCATATTTATAGATTTTTTCGGTAAAGTCACGTAGGTAAAAATGTAAATTAATAAAATAAATAAAATCAAATCACGACGTTTCGGAGGCAACACCTGAAGACGGAAGCTTGTGTTGCCTCCGAAACGTCGTGATTTTTATTTATTTTTATTTTACTTTTATTAATTTAAATTTTTTACCTACGTGACTTTACCGAAAAAACCTAAGAATATACAAAGATACCTCTGTACGTTTAGAATGTCCCTCTCTTACCTTGGGTGCGTTGTGACCAACGGCCACATGGGGGCCTCTGTGACTTCGCATGGTGAAGCGCATGATCTGCCGCTTGGCGAAGATGAAGAGCAGCACGAAGACCTGAGGCCACAGGAAGAGAGACAAAGACGGCTCAGCCGTCGCATTCGACGTGGTCTTTTTGTGCGCACACACACGTGTACCTGAGCAGCGGGTAAAGGGTGCAAGCCCTTCGTAGTACTTGGCTCACACCGCTGGAGAAACCCTCTTAGAGGTCGCTCTTCACTAACTTTCACTGGGATTTTTGCACAGCGTTTTTTTTTTTTAAGATTTGCTGGTTTATCCCAGGAAGTTTCTGTTGCGCGTCGTCGCTTTAAGATGTTCTTCGTTCATATTTTGTTTGTTACGGTTGGACCTGACTTAAGAGCCGCATGGCTCACAGGGCTATGTCAAATAAATGAAACTTGAAACTAATAACTCTTTGGTTTTTTCGGTAAAGTCACGTCAGTAAAAATAAATAAATGAATGAAAAAACAACTAAATAAAATCACGACGTTTCGGAGGCAACACAAGCTTCCGAATTGAAACTAATTTTCACAAGGGATACCGCTTTCGCCGATAATTAATACATTGACTTAAAATTTTCGTGACTGCAGGAATTAATATTCTATGGTTCTTTCGGTAAAGTCACGTAGATAAAACATAAAACATATTTGTATTATAATTTTTCATTTTTATTATTTATATTTTATTTTCCATCTACGTGACTTTACCGAACGAACCATAGAAAAATGAAGACATCATCAGCGTGAGGGCCCCACCACACATTTGAAACCATTGTGGGTTTGACAGCAGCACTGTGATGGGCGTTAACGTCACACGTTGTGTATCGTCTGGGGCCGCAATAAAGGCCACCAGGGGCCGCACTAAAGGCCACCAGGGGCCGCACTAAAGGCCACCAGGGGCCGCACTAAAGGCCACCAGGGGCCGCACTAAAGGCCACCAGGGGCCGCACTAAAGGCCACCAGGGGCCGCACTAAAGGCCACCAGGGGCCGCACTAAAGGCCACCAGGTGCCGCACTAAAGGCCACCAGGGGCCGCACTAAAGGCCACCAGGGGCCGCACTAAAGGCCACCAGGGGCCGCACTAAAGGCCACCAGGGGCCGCACTAAAGGCCACCAGGGGCCGCACTAAAGGCCACCAGGGGCCGCACTAAAGGCCACCAAGGGCCGCACTAAAGGCCACCAGGGGCCGCACTAAAGGCCACCAGGGGCCACACTAAAGGCCACCAAGGGCCGCACTAAAGGCCACCAGGGGCCGCACTAAAGGCCACCAGGGGCCTCACTAAAGGCCACCAGGGGCCGCACTAAAGGCCACCAGGGGCCGCACTAAAGGCCACCAGGGGCCGCAATAAAGGCCACCAGGGGCCGCACTAAAGGCCACCAGGGGCCGCACTAAAGGCCACCAGGGGCCGCACTAAAGGCCATCAGGGGCCGCACTAAAGGCCATCAGGGGCCGCACTAAAGGCCACCAGGGGCCGCACTAAAGGCCACCAGGGGCCGCACTAAAGGCCACCAGGGGCCGCAATAAAGGCCACCAGGGGCCGCACTAAAGGCCACCAGGGGCCGCACTAAAGGCCACCAGGGGCCTCACTAAAGACCATCAGGGGCCTCACTAAAGGCCACCAGGTGCCTCACTAAAGACCACCAGGGGCCACACTAAAGGCCACCAGGGGCCTCACTAAAGACCATCAGGGGCCTCACTAAAGGCCACCAGGGGCCGCACTAAAGGCCACCAGGGGCCTCACTAAAGGCCACCAGGGGCCGCACTAAAGGCCACCAGGGGCCGCACTAAAGGCCACCAGGGGCCGCAATAAAGGCCACCAGGGGCCGCACTAAAGGCCACCAGGGGCCGCACTAAAGGCCACCAGGGGCCGCACTAAAGGCCATCAGGGGCCACACTAAAGGCCACCAGGGGCCTCACTAAAGACCATCAGGGGCCTCACTAAAGGCCACCAGGGGCCACACTAAAGGCCACCAGGGGCCTCACTAAAGACCATCAGGTGCCTCACTAAAGACCATCAGGTGCCACACTAAAGGCCACCAGGGGCCTCACTAAAGACCATCAGGGGCCTCACTAAAGGCCACCAGGGGCCTCACTAAAGACCACCAGGTGCCTCACTAAAGACCATCAGGGGCCACACTAAAGGCCACCAGGGGCCTCACTAAAGACCATCAGGGGCCTCACTAAAGGCCACCAGGGGCCACACTAAAGGCCACCAGGGGCCTCACTAAAGACCATCAGGTGCCTCACTAAAGGCCACCAGGGGCCTCACTAAAGGCCATCAGGGGCCTCACTAAAGGCCATCAGGGGCCTCACTAAAGGCCATCAGGGGCCTCACTAAAGGCCATCAGGGGCCTCACTAAAGGCCATCAGGGGCCTCACTAAAGGCCACCAGGGGTCTCACTAAAGGCCACCAGGGGCCTCACTAAAGGCCACCAGGGGTCTCACTAAAGGCCACCAGGGGCCACACTAAAGGCCACCAGGGGCCTCACTAAAGGCCACCAGGGGCCGCACTAAAGGCCATCAGGGGCCTCACTAAAGGCCACCAGGGGCCGCACTAAAGGCCACCAGGGGCCTCACTAAAGGCCACCAGGGGCCACACTAAAGGCCATCAGGGGCCGCACTAAAGGCCACCAGGGGCCTCACTAAAGGCCACCAGGGGTCACACTAAAGGCCATCAGGGGCCTCACTAAAGGCCATCAGGGGCCTCACTAACAGCCACCAGGGGTCACACTAAAGGCCATCAGGGGCCTCACTAAAGGCCACCAGGGGCCGCACTAAAGGCCACCAGGGGCCTCACTAAAGGCCACCAGGGGTCACACTAAAGGCCATCAGGGGTCTCACTAAAGGCCACCAGGGGCCTCACTAAAGGCCACCAGGGGCCTCACTAAAGGCCATCAGGGGCCGCACTAAAGGCCACCAGGGGTCACACTAAAGGCCATCAGGGGTCTCACTAAAGGCCATCAGGGGCCTCACTAAAGGCCATCAGGGGCCGCACTAAAGGCCACCAGGGGCCTCACTAAAGACCATCAGGGGCCTCACTAAAGGCCACCAGGGGTCACACTAAAGGCCACCAGGGGCCTCACTAAAGGCCATCAGGGGCCTCACTAAAGGCCACCAGGGGTCACACTAAAGGCCATCAGGGGCCTCACTAAAGGCCATCAGGGGCCTCACTAAAGGCCATCAGGGGACTCACTAAAGGCCACCAGGGGTCACACTAAAGGCCATCAGGGGCCTCACTAAAGGCCATCAGGGGCCGCACTAAAGGCCACCAGGGGCCGCACTAAAGGCCATCAGGGGCCTCACTAAAGGCCATCAGGGGCCTCACTAAAGGCCACCAGGGGCCGCACTAAAGGTCACCAGGGGTCTCACTAAAGGCCATCAGGGGTCGCACTAAAGGCCACCAGGGGTCCCACTAAAGGCCATCAGGGGCCGCACTAAAGGCCACCAGGGGCCGCACTAAAGGCCACCAGGGGTCGCACTAAAGGCCATCAGGGGCCGCACTAAAGGCCACCAGGGGCTGCACTAAAGGCCACCAGGGGTCGCACTAAAGGCCATCAGGGGCCTCACTAAAGGCCATCAGGGGCCTCACTAAAGGCCACCAGGGGTCGCACTAAAGGCCACCAGGGGCCGCACTAAAGGTCACCAGGGGTCTCACTAAAGGCCATCAGGGGCCTCACTAAAGGCAATCAGGGGTCGCACTAAAGGCCATCAGGGGTCGCACTAAAGACCACCAGGGCCGCACTAAAGGCCATCAGGGGCCTCACTAAAGGCCATCAGGGGCCGCACTAAAGACCACCAGGGTCTCACTAAAGGCCATCAGGGGCCTCACTAAAGGCCATCAGGGGTCGCACTAAAGGCCATCAGGGGCCGCACTAAAGGCCACCAGGGCCGCACTAAAGGCCACCAGGACCGCACTAAAGACCACCAGGGCCGCACTAAAGGCCACCAGGGCCGCACTAAAGACCACCAGGGCCGCACTAAAGACCACCAGGGGCCGCACTAAGACCACCAGGGCCGCACTAAAGGCCACCAGGGCCGCACTAAAGGCCACCAGGACGGCACTAAAGACCACCAGGGCCGCACTAAAGGCCACCAGGGCCGCACTAAAGGCCACCAGGACCGCACTAAAGACCACCAGGACCGCACTAAAGGCCACCAGGGCCGCACTAAAGGCCACCAGGGGCCGCACTAAAGGCCACCAGGGGCCGCACTAAAGGCCACCAGGGGCCGCACTAAAGGCCACCAGGGGCCGCACTAAAGGCCACCAGGTGCCACACTAAAGGCCATCAGGGGCCGCACTAAAGGCCACCAGGGGCCGCACTAAAGGCCACCAGGGGCCGCACTAAAGGCCACCAGGGGCCTCACTAAAGGCCACCAGGGGCCTCACTAAAGGCCACCAGGGGCCGCACTAAAGGCCACCAGGGGCCGCACTAAAGGCCATCAGGGGCCGCACTAAAGGCCATCAGGGGCCGCACTAAAGGCCACCAGGTGCCTCACTAAAGGCCACCAGGTGCCTCACTAAAGGCCATCAAGGGCCGCACTAAAGGCCATCAAGGGCCACACTAAAGGCCATCAAGGGCCGCACTAAAGGCCACCAGGTACCTCACTAAAGGCCATCAAGGGCCGCACTAAAGGCCATCAAGGGCCACACTAAAGGCCATCAGGGGCCGCACTAAAGGCCACCAGGGGCCGCACTAAAGGCCACCAGGTGCCTCACTAAAGGCCATCAAGGGCCGCACTAAAGGCCATCAAGGGCCACACTAAAGGCCACCAGGTGCCTCACTAAAGGCCATCAGGGGCCGCACTAAAGGCCACCAGGTGCCTCACTAAAGGCCATCAAGGGCCGCACTAAAGGCCATCAAGGGCCACACTAAAGGCCATCAAGGGCCACACTAAAGGCCATCAAGGGCCGCACTAAAGGCCACCAGGGGCCTCACTAAAGGCCATCAAGGGCCGCACTAAAGGCCATCAAGGGTCGCACTAAAGGCCATCAGGGGCCACACTAAAGGCCACCAGGGGGCCGCACTAAAGGCCACCAGGGGCCTCACTAAAGGCCA